GGAAGGTATTGAACACTTACTGAGGCAACTAGAGTGTCCGGATCAACAACTGGAGGCAGAGCAGGGGGGATGGAGACTAAAGAAGGTCGTTGCTTCCTGAAGTAGGTATGAAGTTGTTGCGGAAGTGACAATGGAGTATTCGATGTACCTGTAGAATCAAAACTATGCAGCAAGGAAACGAAAAGAGTTGGGAACTTCACAATATGTTCAAAAAATGACACTTTTAAGAAAAACTACATTACGAGAAATTCGAAGACGACAAACCAAAGGGTCATAGCAAAGATACCCTTTATGTTCAGAGCTATACCCCATAAAGGTGCACAAAGCTACTTGTGTAGTTAACTTTGTGCGTTCATGGAGTGGAATGTGGACAAAACAAACACATCCGAATACTCTGAGCATGGATAGGTTTGGGGATTTGTGGAGAGGGATTGAAAATGAGAGGAGTTGTTCAAAACTGATGACGGAAGACGATTTATGAGATACACAGCAGTGCTGACTGTCTCCACCCAAAACCAAGAGGGTACGTGGGACTTGTGGAAGAGTTCTGACTACACTCAAGATATGCCCATCTTTTCTTTCTGCAATCCCGTTTTGTTTTAAGTAGTTTAGAAATTCCCATCAATATACTCTCCCCTTGAATCCGATTGTAGCACACAAATTCAGGCATCAAACTGAGTGGCAACATAGGTGTAAAAGTGCTGAAATACGGAGTACACTTCAGATTCCTTTCGAAGAAAATAGGCCCAAGTGAAACGAGTGCAGTCATCAATAAATGTTACAAAATATTTAAAACCCATCCGTGAGACAACCGGAGATGACCAAACATCAATATGTATTCAATAAAAAGGGACTGTTGCATGTTCAAAATGAGAAGAAAAAGGCAAAATATGACTCTTACATAAGCCACAAGTGGTGCAATCTTTATTCACATTTTTAAGAGAAATATTAGAAACAGGTAAACTACCAAAGAAAAACAACTAATCAAGTTTCTTAGAAAAAGGATGGCCCAATCGTTTATGCCACAACTACCAATCTTTATTACAATTAACAGATTCAAAACTAGAAGTAGTAGAAATTAAACATGAAGTAGAAGCAGACAGTTTTATTCTTCTCAAATTCTAGAGCAAAGAGTCTTCCTAGTCTACGCCCCTTCCCCTTCACCTCCCAGTTTGCCGGTCTTTTATCAAACAACCATCAGAAGTAAATGAGACATTGTTACCTTCCTCTACAAGTTGGCCAACAGAAATTAAATTGGTGGTAAACTTAGGTACAAATAAGGTTTTGGACAAATGAAATGGAGATGACTTAAAAGTAGATAAATATAAATCATTACATCCAAGTATATCTAATTTCTCACCATTAGCAGTAACAATGTGTTTATTGGGGAGATGGGGTTTAGGACATTGACCAAGAGTGGCCCCTATCATATGGTTAGAGGCTCCTGAGTCAATGTACCATAGATGGTTCAGTGAGGGACAGTAGGTAAGAGACTTACCAGATAGGTCCATAGAAGAGAAGGCTGAAAAGATAACAAAGGACATGAGTTGTTGAATTCATTATTCAGACATGCTACCTGAGGTGTCATTTTGTCCAGTCACAGAAGTAATGGAGGATGCTGCATCTAATCCATCTACACCTGTCTGATAAGCCTTGTAGCTTCTTTTCTTCTGATTTGATCCACTGCTTTTCTGAGGCCGAGTGGGGCATTCAGTGATAATATGGCCAACCTGCTTATAGTAGGTGCATGTATACTTTTTCTTGCAGTGAGAAACAACATGCCCAAACTCCTTACATTCATAGCACTGTATTTTAGAAAAGTCCTTCCCTTTCGGTTTTGTTTCTAGAAAGACAATATCAATGTTAGATTCCTTCCTTTCATCCAGAGTAGTCTGTGTGGCAAATCTGGTTTTGGCCCTCAAAATTTCCCCAAGAATAGCATCCAAGTCAGGAAGTGTTCCTCGACTCAGGATATTAGATTTAACAACTTCGGATTCAAGTCTGAAATGCATTAGGAAGTGCATAATATTTCTTCTATCAAAATGTTCCTTCATATACTTCACACAACATTCTAAAGGATCATTCCCCATGTGAACAAGCTCATATTTGGTCCAAAGGTTAATAAACCCAACATAATACTCTTGGACCTTTCTTTCTCCTTGATAATAGGAGAAGATGTCAACTTCTATCTGGTACTGTCTTGAGGTGTTTGATTGCTGATATACTCTCTCGAGGTACTCATACATCTCACGGGCAGTCCTGTATCCTCTCATAGGAATTGCAATGTCAGTTTCAACGGATCCTAAGATCTATGATGCAATTTTTGCATTATCAATTCTCCACTTATTAAGACCCTTGATGTTTGAATCATCAGGTTTAACTACTGATCCATACAAATATCCCTAGAGACCTTTCGCCTCCACATGAAATTGGAAATTGAATTCCCAAAGTGCATAGTTCGTACCATTAAACTTGATGGGGAGAATTTCCATTCTTTCTGATGCCATTGAATCACAAGAGCAAAAAAAACCACAGACAGAAGTATTCAAAACAATAGAATAATGAAGTACCTTTCAGTCAATGTCTAGAAAAGGAAACTGTAAGGGTCTACCGAACTCTGAAGTGGCTCAAAACCCTTCTAGACCAAATCCGATTCAAACCAAGCCAATTGGAAACAGTAGATCTGCCTTGGGCGACACTAGATCTAAAGTTTCAGCCTGATCCGATGCTTCTAGAGGGAGATCCAATCCAAAAGAAGAATATGGTGGCGCAGCAGTCCAGGAATAGTCTATCGAGTTCTAATTGAATGCAGCTTCAGAAATCGGATTCAAGAACTCTCAAGAGCCTCCCAAATACTATTAGGGAGTACTGTAGATAACAGATAAGAAAGAGGTGAGGAAGTAGTCACTTGCAGATCAGATCGTGACCTGCTCTGGTACCATGTCAGAGTCAGATCGAAAAATTGAGGAAGAGAAAGAGAGAGAGACAACACAGCCGAATGGTGGGTGTGACACCTTGTATCAATTGACACCCTAAAAGAAATATTTATATTAAGTTGTAAAAGGATGAATCTGCCCTTAATGTACAGGAGAGATATAATACAAAGAGAGATATATACAAAAATAGCCCTACGGCTAGATTTCATTGTCTCTACAAGGGCAACTATTTTATGAGTTATGAGATTTGAGAAACGAGAGGAGATGCTGTCGATTGAGAAAGAAAAGAAAGAAAGGAGAAAGGAAAAAAGAAAAGAAGAGAAAAAAGGAAGGAGGGAAGGACAAGGGAAGAAGAAGGAAGAGGAGGGTGATTCGACGCTCACCGACGACGATAATAGCAACAACGACAATGATGGAGAGGCGGCGACAACATACACAGATCTGAGTTCTCAGATCTTCATCTTCTTCTTCTCCTTTTGCTTCTTCTCTCTCTCTTCTTCTTCCTCAAATCTGAGACACGAACTCAGATCTGAGACAACTGAGACACGGACTCAAATCTGAGTTTGTATGTTTTCTGACAAAGAAGAGAGTTCCTGGGTTAGAACCGCTGTCTGGGTCAAACGAGTTGACGGTTCGACTATCCGGGTCAGCAATTTTCTGACCAAGTCAACGGTTTTTGACCCATGAATGAGTTAGGGGTGAAACAAAACCAGTTGCTTGGACGGTTTCCGGGCCAAACGGTCCGACCGTCTGAGTGAACAACGATTAAAAAAATTGTATAAAATAGTTGCCCTAATATGCAAACCATCCAAACCGTTCGACCCAGACAATCGAACTGCTGACCCAGAAATCGATAGCTAGAACAGTTCCGCTTCCGGGTCGGTTTTTAAAACCTTGTGTTAGGCGATATATCTATGAGGCAAGGAACCAATTACATGGTAACCTATTAAAAAAATATGATAAACTTGTAACCTTGAGGCCAAAACAAGGATCCAACCATGGTGCATTTCAAATATTTTTACACTAAATCAAAATTTCAACTGATCATAAAGACATTACATGAACAATTTATTTTTCATTCGTTCATGTTACACAAGGTGCACTTACCATAGATTTTTCCCCAAAACAAATATATGAAAAAAAAGGACTTTTGACTTTCAATTTTTCCCCGGTGTGTACTTGTACGTCTATTCTATACTACTATATTTGGCCCTTCCATCTGAATCTTGTTTTACCATTCATCTCTATCAAGAGCCTTAAGTAGATTCCCATGTGAGAACTCTTCCAATTCGGGGTGAAACTTGGGTGGGTCCAACCCGAGCCCAACCCAACCTGAGTTTTTGCACAGGTTGGTCCCTAAATTTTCGGGCTGTGGGCTGGGCTTGGGACAGAAAACTCGGGCTTCACCTAAACTTGGGTTGAGGCCTCAAGTAGCCCGAGCCCAATCCAATCCTGCTCAAAAACAGTACATACATAAGTGTATTGTATTTGCATAAAATATCTTTTTTATTTCTAATTATGTATACATCTATATATGTATAGAGTATGACTTATGTGCATTGAACATATTTTCAATCAATTCTACTCGTAAATTGGGCCATAAAGCCAAATTAAAGATGACTACGTAAAATATATACATAAATTCTTCCAAACCTGACCAAACCACCCATGCCCAACTAACCCGGCCTGAGCCTGAGCCCAACCCAGGTTGTGTTGGATGTGGGTTGATAAACTTAGGCATAACCTTGGGTTGGGTCAGGGCTAAGCCCAAGGTTTGCACCTACACAGTTGGGACTGGGTTGACCTTTAATCCAACCCAACCCTCCAGAGTTGCACCCCTACTTCCAAGCCATTGAATAGACAGTTTGAATTTTGGCTAAGATGATATTAGATACTTAGGAAGGAAAAACGCATTTATTTCAAGGTTGCACCTATACGGTTGGGACTGGGTTGACCTTTAATCCAACCCAACCCTCCAGAGCTGCACCCCTACTTCCAAGCCATTGAATAGACAGTTTGAATTTTGGCTAAGATGATCTTAGATACTTGGGAAGGAAACACACATTTATTTCAAATTATCATGTTATTCCATGTTTTCTTTCTTGAACTAAATAGCAAAAATTCAGTTACATAGACTTTTTGGCAAATGTAAAATCAGTTATATAGTTGAACTCCAGGTATATTTTCCACCTTGAAATAAAGAATAAGGCAAAGAAAAAGAAAACAAAAAACGTCTCTCCTCCATTAAAAAATAATTGCCTCAATAAAAAATAACCAGGAGGCATAGCTTGAAAAGTGCTGCATTGACTGGTTGAAAAAATTATATAAAACCTTAAAATCATTTTCTTGGCATTTTTTTAGTTTGGATTTTGGCCAAAGAGATATCTGTCTTGCGTGACACTCATTTCCATTTGGCCATTAGATTTGCTTTGCTGCTATATATTTTGACTACTAAAGCACTTGTAAAGAGATAAACAGATATAGTACATACCTTCCAATGAAATCGCAGGTTTTCTATCTTTTTATTTCCACGGTAGAGCCACAAGGTAAAGAATTCCATTCAAATGATAGATACCATGATTCTCTACACCAAATTCTGCTTAATCAAACTTGAAGAGCAGCCAACAAACCAGGCGGAATGCATTCATCTAATATATCTTTTGGAAGCTCCATATGGTTGCAAAAATACATAAGCCAAAATGCTGATTTCAATATCTGAAAGTTGACAAGAGATGCATTGGAGGTTCAGTTTTGGAACATTCCAGGTCAACCTTATATCGTGATTCAAGATRTGCTTAATATTTGGGATATGAAATGCATATGGAACAAAAACAAAATCTAGACAATGGAGATGTATCTTCAAAATATTTTCTACCAGTGTTTTAAAAGGCGTGGGAGGCATACGCTTGGAGGTGCCCCCAAAATGCCCTGAGGCATATGTCAGAGGCGCCGACATCTCTGAGGTGTATGCCTCATACGTTTTTTTTTTTTTTTTTTTTAGACGTGCTAGAGGCGTATGCTTCATGCGCCTCATGCACACTTCATGTAAAAAGACCAAAAAAAAAGGAAAAAAGAAAGAAAAAAAGAGAAAAAAGGAAAGGGAAGATAAAGGGAAAAAAGTGGGCCAGGGGCTAAGCACTTGGACCCCTTGGCCCCCCAGCCCCCCTTTTAAACTAGTGCTATGCATCTTCATTTTTCTTAATATAAAAGATTTTTATTAAAATAAAGAAAAATGAGAAATTTCTTCCTCATCAACCCCCCTCCTCTTAAGAAGGCTTACGCCTCCTTGTGTTTGGGACATAGTTTTCAAGGTGCCAAGGTGAGGCTAGGTGACAAGGGGGTGCCTTGTTGCCTAGGTGGACTTTTTTAAGTAAAATTTACATATCCTAGGGTAGTTCCCTAGGTTCCATAACCAACTTTCTTTAATAACTAAGAAAATTATGAACTTCGTGTTTAAGTCTAGAAAAATCAACATATTTCTTAAGAAGAAAAAGAAGGAAAGAAAATTCAAAAAATATAGGGGCTGAACCCCTATTTTTGTTATAAGAAGAAGAAGAAGAAGAAGTTAGCAATGTTTGTGTTGATTAAACCCTAACAAATAAGAAAATAATAAAAAGAAATTAGTTTATAAACACAAATGAATATTTTTCTTTAATAATGTCTATTGATAATTATAATCTAAAAAATAACAATATAAAAGTATTTTATTGCACAGTATGCAAAACTGCTTGGTGACTGGGCGAGGCGAGCCTCCAAGGGCGCCTTGTCGCCTAGGCATCGCCTTGACAACCATGGTTCGGGAGGCTTACACCTCTTACATTCTGAACTATGCCTTATGCCTCTCTAAGTAGTGGAACACCTCACTCCACGCCTCCGCATTTTAAAATATTGTTTTCTAAATCCCACTAACAGCACATGTATTAAGGGTATTAAAAGTTCAAGTAGCATATTTTTTGACATCAATACCTTCAAATAGAAACTCCTACCTAAAGTATGGCTAAGTCCCTTTTCTTGCCACATAAATTTCTCTAACAGCTCAGCCACAGCAAATAACAGACCAAGTCATGGTTCACAATAGCAGCAAGATTTGGTGAAATTTCCTCATTTTGCTAGGTGGTGATACAAAATCATCCAAGAATCTTTTTGGTCCTAATATCTCCAATATGATGTTTTAACAATATTTCAGATTTTATTGATAGACTATATATTTGAGGTATAAAATTTTAGAACATAATTAGAAAATTTCCAATTTTTCATTAAAACCATCATGTTTTCTTTAGCTTTTTCCTAAAAGAACAAATAGGGATTTGGTGATTGAATGATTGATTTGCTATTTTGATATGATTCAATTAATAAGCCACTATAATTCAAAAGAAGAAGATAAAAGACACACAACTACCAAAGGGGATTCCAATCTAATTAAAACATATGGTAACAAAAAAGAGAAAATCCAAAATGGCATATATAATGAAGGGAAGATCACTAAAAGAGTTAAAGGGAGATAGAGAGAAAGACAACTATTTAAGTCTCTTAATCTTCTCTTATTTGATTTATACATCCGTTTGCAATGGTATTTTGAGACTTAGATGTGCAATTATACTTCTAATGATTCCTTGAAGGTTTAGTTGTAGATCCCACCTGCAATAATCTGAAATAAAGAAAAGAAAAAAACAGAAGAGAAGATGGGAGAGAGAAAAGTAAAGGAGAAATGGAAGGAAGAAGAGACAGAGTTCCAACCTCTCTTCAGCCCCCAATGATCTCTTTTATTCTTTTGTTGTAAAAAATAAGGACAATTACATGAGTGCCCTTAGTAGGGCGTCCATAACTAAAGACAGCAATAAAAACAATAAAAAAATAAAAAACAGGCCCATAACTAAGGTCCACATACTAAGACAAGTCATAAACATAACTTAAAGAAAAATAAAGAAACTAAGGCCCATTCGGCCCATTATCTCTACAGGTTTATTAACTAATTCCATGATTTTAGAAAACTTCCCAGATTTTTTTTAAACTTTCCAAATATCTTAGCGAAATTAGCAAAATATCCCCAAATTTCCCCATCTCTGCATGGTGAAATGTCCATTGAGATCAAAATTGCAAACCACACAAAGGACTAACAGCATGCTTTATCAATGTATTTTTTTTTGATAAATACATGCTTTATCAATGTATTTTGACAATGCTCCAGAAAAGGGTATCAGGAAGTTTGTCACTTCCCATCTACATAAATAGAATGTTCTCTAATAAATGAAAGTTTGCTTGTTGACAGAGCTCATAAAATTCTGGTATTTTTTTTTGAGTATTTTTGCCTGCCAAATTTGGAACATTTTAAAGACCCACTTCAACTTAAGTTGGCCTTCAAAAAAAAAAAAAATCATTAGCACAACAGCAAATGGAAATTTCCTACATATGATGCCATCATAGATTATTTTATGCAGTAATAAAGATAAAGACACATACCTCCTGTGTTGACTCAGTGGATCGTTTCTGAGATTCATTTGTCACCCCAAAAGCATCTTCTGCTGTTATTCGTACATACTGGCCCATGTACTGCATATAATACAAATCTACTTTATTCATTATTTTCTATTATAGAAAGAAAGGCCAACAACAGTGTTTGCGTAAAGGCAGAATATATACCTGAGCATACTGAATCAAATAACTAGGATGAAACTGCCTAAGGAATGTACCAAGTCCTATAGCCTGAAAAACAGCAGCTAATTTCATATACATGATTGGAAAAAATTCACAGGTCACTTTAGTGCAATTCAGGGAGAAGCATGTAGACATTTGAAAAAAAAACTAGATACTGGTCCAGCAACAAGGGTTGGTTGGACATTATACAATTTGAAGAGCTTAGGTTGAGTCACACCAGTACCCATCTTATAAGGGTTGGTTGGACATAAAGAATGCTCGAAATTGTACTTGAAACAGAAGGGCAGGTATGGAGGGTTGGAAGTGGATATAGAATATATGGGTCCCAACTAAGATCTTTGGGATGTGGAGGATTGTTAAATACAAAACACAGGTGGACACAAATGTTCAAAAACTTGGGGTTCATATGGCCTCAAAATGCATATGCGGTAAACGTCCTTTGATTGAAAGTATGGATCATCTGTTTATAAATGGTGTGTTGGCCAGTAGAATTTGAGGCCACTTTTGGTAAATATTTTGGATTCCCATGTGCAGAATGAATCCACTGTCCAAGCTGTTAGGAGATGGCAAGAAGCTACTCAATTAAGAAAAATATATTGGAGTTTACCATTGGATTTCTTCCCAACTTTATAATTTGGGAAATATGGAAGGAACGAAATAGAAGGAAAATGGGGGGGGGGGGGGCGAGTTTTCCACATCTACTAAAGGTTATTTATATCATACACAGATAGGCTATAGATATTGCTTTGTCTCTTGATACATGTGGTGAATTTTCCAACAAAGATAGAGCCCAACTCAATGCATTTGGCCTCAAGTGCAAAAACACATGGATGAAGTTGGTGTACTGGATACCTCCCAACTGCAATGAAATTATGTTGAATGTGGATGGTGCCACTATGGAGACCTGGGACAATAGTGGTGGAGGAGGTTGCTTTTCTCTTCATATTAGAGCTGTCTTGAATGGGCTAGAATTTGCTATTTCAATGGGATTTAACAATGTGGTTGGTTGTTTGGATGCAGTGATGATTGTCAACTTCATTGACAAAACTTGGAAAATGTGGCATGTGATCAACAGACAGGGTGTTCCATGATGTCCATAATCTACCAGTTTGGGTTAGGGATACTCTCAATGCAGAATGGACCAGTATACCTTATATTAGATGAAAATAATGTTTTCCATTGTTGCACTGGTGTTGATTTAAGGACTATCATAGATTTTATTGTGATGATAGTCCCTTTGTATAACTTTCATAGAAGGGTAAGGTATTTACATCCCCCTCATAGGCTTTTATTGATATTCATAAATTTATGGTGGGCACCCCTCCACCGGGAGTAAATTTTGGAGTTTAACAAAAGTATATAAATATATTAAGGTTGGCTGTCTTAATTTTCCCCTAGCTTGAACATCTTAATTAAATTTAATAGTTCTTGATGATCAAATAATACAACTTATGTGTCATAGTTGTCGAGGTGATACTTAGGCCACAAGACACCCATGGAGGGTCACCTCACTTAAGTGCCTAGTTATATTGTAAATGGCGCTATGAAATATTTTTATATTCTTTATTTTTTGAGATTATGGTAATAAAATCGACATTATTTTCTTCTTTATAAGGTTCAATCAACACACATGTTGGTATATGCTATCATGAACCCTTGAGTACTTCAAGACCTGGATTGATAAGCATGGAAAAATTTTAAATTTTATCCAAAATCAGGGGCTCATCCCCTATATAGTTTTTTTTAATATTTTTCTTTCTTTTTTTTTCTCATGAATATGCTGATTTTCTATGTTCTAGTGTGAACTTTAATCTTTTTTTTTTTTATGACGATTATAGATAATTACCCCTAGGATTCATGGTTTTTATTTTAAGAAAAAAAAATCCATTACTTAGGCAACACCTAGGTGACTAAGTGGCAAGGTGCTCCCTATTGCCTAACTATGATTTATTGTAAGAAATACCTATTTTTTAAATGAAAGAAAAAACTATGATAGAAAATTGATGAAAAACTAGACGACTAGGTGAGAAGGTTCCTTCCTGTCACCTAGACTTGCTTTGGTGCCTTGAAAATTATGTTATGTGTTTTCGTGCATGTGAAATTTGAGTAAGAACTGTTGAGCTAGCCAAACAGCTAGGATACAGGCATATTGAAGTGGAAGGGGACTCAATATGCCTGGGCAGCAAACGGCAGCCATACCCTGTGGACGTTTAAACATGTGATTAGGGAAGTGGAGAAGATTGCAAAGGAGGTTGAGGCTGAATTTAAATGGGTCTGAAGGAGTGCAAATGGGCTAGCTGATTGTCTAGCAAAACGAAGGGCATTGAGACAGCAATTATTTTGGGCCACACTGTAATGAGGGATAGAAAAGAGCGATCAAAGGTATCATCAGTCCCACACCAAGTTGTATAAACTGTTTACAATCTGAAATTTAAATAAAATACATGTTTACTGATTAAAAAGAAAAAATGAGTAAGAACTGTTTCTGCATCTAACTATGATTTATTGTAAGAAAATACCTATTTTTTAAAGAACAAAGGAAAGAACTAGGATAACAAAATTGATACAAAACTGAACAGTGCCTTGTTGATACTCATACAAAAATGTCCTAAAAGGATTTGAAATTGCAAATTTCTTAACAAGATAAAATTAGTCAAACCAAGTCGGCATATTGTTAAACCTAGCATTCTTATCAAATGTAGTCGTATGAGACTACTAACAGCCCAAGCTGTGGTGTATAATCAACAGGAAATTAAGAGGATGAGATGAGAGAATGAGAGGAGAAAGAGAAAAGAAGAGAAGAAGATTTCAAAGGAAGGATTTCAGAAAAGAAGAGGATGCTTAATCTGCCGCCCCCCTCTTTCTATTTATATTAATTCTGAAGGATAAGACTGCTTACATGGCAAAATTAAAATCCTAATAAAAGACAACAATTAAAGTCCTAATAAAAGACTAAC